GTTCAAATGTGATTGCGGCTTCGAATGCGAAGACCGTATTCATGTAGTCGCGGAATGTCCGTTGTACAAGCAGGAGAGGGAGGTGTACGTGACTGAGCTGGGAAAAATAGACAAGACGTACAGGGAGATGTTTAAGGCATGGAATAGAGAGGAAAGGACGGTGGCTGAACTGGGGCATAGGAGGTGGGATGAAAAGGCGGGAAAGGATGTCGTTAGGATAGACAGACTAGGGAAGACATTTTTGAGCCACCTTTGGCAAAGTAGAAAGGAACGATTGGCCATCGGTGATCGGTCCTGTGGAAACAATGCTCCGTCCTCTCGAGGACGCGTGGTCAATGGTCTAACCGCTAAGGCATGCAAAACATAAGAGTACGCCCCCCCCCCTGAGGGAAGAGATGATAGATGCTAGCGGAGGTGGTATCGGATATGTCTTGCGGAGTCTGGGTGAACGTTTGTTGGCGCCTCATATGGATTCGAAAAAGATTGCCGGAAGTTTTGGGAGCTTTGAACACGTAGACGTGCTGTTCAAAATTGCTTAAGTGGGGGTACCCATCGCAGTAGGACCGGGGGGAGACCTCAAGCATGAGTTAACAGTACGGGAATCATCCGAGCGCGCAAAAATGGTCCGGAACGATTTGGCAGAAGGTGGTAGAGGACGTGGAAGCAGGCAGGGCGGTGCTGTTCAGGAAAGAAGATGCTGAGAAAATTCCGGGTTTGCGCATGTCCCCGGTCGGGGTGGTGGAAGAGGAAGAGAAACTTCGGGTGATACACGATCTGACCATACCAGTAGCGGAGGCAACGGGGGGGGGAAGAGCGGCCGGTGAATGCCACAACTTTTTTTTGAATACATTCCAGCATGCGGAATGGCGACTGTAACGCAGGAGGTGTTAGAACGGTTCCTGGGGTTGAGAGCTAGGTATCCAAGGAGGACGACTTTGTTACAAAAAATGGACGCGAAGAGCGCATTGCGCCAAATCCCAGTAGACCCAGCAGGGGCGCTGGCTTCGGATATGTGGTAGGGGAATTACTGGTAGTAGACCGTCGGTTGCAGTTCGGATGGCTTCGTAGTCCTGGGTGGTGGGGGCTGGTGGCGTCGGCGATAGAACACGTACACCGACAGACGACAAGAGACAGTACGGTTAACGCCCTCTGGGGTACGGGCAGCGGCACACTTACAAGAGCTCCGCCAACGGGGAAAGGGACATTGCCGATTCCACCGCAGTGCAAGGTGCAGCCGGCGGTAGGAGGGGGGAAGAATGATCCGGCGTTTGTGCGGTTTTCGTGGATGATGCGATTAGTGTGGAAGTGCAGTGAGAAGACAAGGGAGAGCGGTGTCTGAAGTTGAAGAAGGGGCTTGCGTCCACCCATCATGTAATAGTAGGGGAAAGGGATGAGGAGGAGGAGCCAGCACTGCCTGCAAAGAAGATCACAGACTGGAGGACGGAACATGAGGTAGGGTGGTTGGTGGATACCGAAGCAGGGACGATTTCATTGCCGGAACAGAAAGTGCAAGATTTTAGAGAAAGGTTAGCGGAGTGGCCAGCGCATAGGAAGCAGGCTACCGTGCGCGAGGTACTGGTGTTGGCAGGTAAGCTGCACCACGCGGCCTTCGTTATCCGACCCGGCCGTTACTTCGTACACAGGCTTCTGCAGCTTGCGGGGCTGCATCTTAATGGGGTGGAACGGGCCGGAGGGGGGGACGTGTGGGGCAGACATCGGAAGAAGGCGCAAGCATGCAAGGTAGTGAAGCTGACATGGGAGTTTATGGCAGAGGTGGGATGGTGGCAGTGGTATCTAGGGGGAGGGGCAGGGGAGGTGGGCAGTAAGATAACGGCGGCGTCGTTCAGCTTTGCCAAGCAAGTCCCTTCGAGGAGCTGGTTCTCGGATGCGTCAACGAGAGCGTTGGGGGGGGTTTGCATGGAAACGAGGGGGTTCGGGAGGTATGAGTTGCCGAAGGAGGTACAAGGAAGGACGATCAGGGCGAGGCAGAAGGGAGAAGAGGACTTGATATGCAAAACGTGCTAAACTTGATGGCGATGTTGATGACGGCGTATGTGACGGTAATTTCGAGGGGGGATAGGCCGGAGCGGGAAGAAGAGGCGGTGATGACGAGGGCGGACAACGAGAGCGCCGTGTCGTCGGTGAAGCAGTGCGGATGGGGGGGGAAGATGAAGGCGAGGGTACGGGCACTGATTAGGATGATGGAAGCTTTGGAGACGATTGGGGGTTGGTGTTTTCAGGCGAGGCATGTACCGGGGCGTGGAGAATAGGCTAGCAGATGGCATAACGATATGGAAAGAAGAGGAGATCGCTGATAACTTGCAATCGGAATCGCCCGCAACACGTTGGCAGGTGCAGGAGCTGAAGGTCGAGGAGCAGCAGCTATGAGCAGAGATTTTGCACGAAGCTGGCAGAGTTGCAGCGTCGACTAGAAAAACTTACACGGAGGCTTGGAACATGTGGATAAGGTGGAGGGAACGAGTGCAGAAGAGCCCATGGATTGCGAAGGGGTCGAAGGAAGGGGAGACAGTGGAGGAGCTGGCGGAGTACATGGCCTACTACAGGGCGTTCCTCTTAGGAAAAAACAGTTGGTTTAGGGGTATTGGATAGCACGCCGCCGCCGTATCATTTTGTCTTGAAACATTCAGGCTTGAAGTACTTTTAGGTGTGCGGTATATCTTGGCACCCCTAGCTTCACGACGATGGGTGTGATGCATATGCGTACATATGTTTCTCCTAATATGCGTACCATACACGCTTCGCGTCTTTTGACCATGTTACAAACTTGTGCGAAGTTGTAGAATATTAGGAGAAACGAATATACACACAGAAAGACTACCCGTTCGAGGTATAACTACACTCGAAGGGGATGTGTTGAAGTCTTTACAGTGAGTAGAGGAAAACCAGCTGGGTACTTGACTTATTTCGAGTTTGTTTAAGCCTATACACTGATGATTTATATCAGTGATACCAGTTGGTGCTTAGCACAAAAACATCTGCGTAGGTACATTTACATGTGGCCTGCACAGGGAACACGGCGCAATATGTCATGTTGACAGTAGTTGCTGGTTTAATTTAGAAAAATACATATATTAGGAAAAACAAATATGCACACAGAAAGACTACCCGTTAAACACATAAAAGCTCCCTGTTCGAGCGAAAATCATAGTCGTTCGAGGGGGGCTTTTTACAGCAGTATTTAGGAAAAACAAGTATACGTGCAGAAAGGCTACAGCAGTATGCAATAACCGACATACGTTAGTTTATCTATTTAATACAAAGTACTGTTTATTACAGAAATAGTTGTTGTACCTATTTGAAAAAACAAATATACATATACACTATTCTCCCTTCTTCCCCTCGCTCCTCGACAAGCTTTTGCTTAGACATGGGTTGTAGTGAAGGGGGGGGTCTTTCTGGCGAGCAGGGCTAGACTCACCCTCAAGGGATGACCGAAACCTTCTTGCTGCTGCGCATAT